TTCACCCCTTTTTCTCAAAATCAATTTCAATTAAATCTAAATAATATTTTTACCCAATTTTATCACTATTATTATTTTTATTTTCATTAAATTAAATAAAAAATTAAACAAATAAATAAAAATAAAAATAAATAAAATAAAAATTTTTTATTTTTATTTGAGTGTTACAATCCTGATCTAAAAGTGTTAATAATAAGGGGGTGAGATACACTAACTTAATAATAATATCAACACTTTACTATCAATATGGAAAAATTAAAAGTTTGTAAAACTATAAAACAACCAATGAAACTTATTTTTCGATTTAAGTAAATTCATTTAACTTGAAAACATCTATTCCTTACTCACCTTTAAGTTTTCATATACCATTTATGGGGAAAAAAACTAGAATAGCAATATACATCATACATTCTAAAAGACCAATAGTAATCAAACATTACATTTTTACTTATTTACCGGTGCTGCTGGGGGTTCATAGAGATTCCCATTATACGTAGACCAAATATCTATTCTATTAATTAATCGATCGTCCCCATACCCCGTCCAGTAATAGGCGTCAAATATACAACCGCCTCAATACATCGTCCGGTATAAGCATAATCAAAATAACTCTCAACCCTTTTTGGTATGGGACTTTTCAGCCCCATTCGACTGAGAGTAATGTCTATAGTAGGGTTACCTTATGTAGCAAGTTCGTCCATATTTTTCCAAGACACCCGGTAAGCACCTTTAGTTTTCACAACATTGCATACACATATAAGTTTTTATTACTATATAGCCACCAAGTACGTACAAATATCTCATTTCATAATCACAGAAAAATAGAACGATCATTTAATAGACGATATAAATTAAAACTCAATGATTCAAAAGAGCGTAATTAAGATATTTATTTCAAACTAAATTAACGGATAAGGATGAAACCAGTTAAGTAAACAAAATAAACAAGAAAAGCAATTAAAATCAATAAACTAAAACATATGAGGTAACAGTAGGCAATTAAAGCAAAATAACAACAAATAGGCAATACAGATGAGATAAAGACAATTATATATTGACCGGTAATTGGCTCTATCAATGACTTGTACTTAATTAATCAATGAATCTCCAACATTTATAAGTTTCTATTCATTATTTATTTAACTTAATTTAACCGTAATGAAAAAAAGGATAAAAGATTCTTACCATGAATCGCTATTCGAAATACTGCCTTTTTTACTATATTTCCCGACGGTTCCTAATTTTCATATTTATTAAGTTTTTCTGCGAAAACCCAAATATACGTCAAATATCATAGAAATAAGCGAAAAAAGGGGTTAAAATTCTCTCGGGGGCCAGTTTAGGGCTCCGGTGCCATGCTCATGCGCCGATTCCACCGCCTACAGTAGTTCCTTCTCTCGGTCAGGTCGATTTCGATCAATTCTATTCGAAAACCTACGAAATTTAGGGTTATGTGGCCTCTGTTGGTAGAAAAAGAAGAAAAATTAAAACTTACTAGCGGTTTGGGTTTTCCGGTGCGGCGTCTCTGCCATTCTTTCCTCGCGGTCACAGCTTTCCTTCGGTTGCCCTGTACCAAAAACATGTTAGGTAACCAATGGTCAAAAAATGAAAGGAAACGGGAAGAGGATTCTGGCTCACTAGAGGGATTTTTCGATTTAGGGTGCAGCAGCTCGACCGAGCTCCACCCTCCATTTCTGACTTCTCCCTTGGTCTTTCGACATTGATAAGGGTTTAAGGAGGTTTAAAATTGAGAAACAGAGCAAACGGGAAGAAAAAACTCACCTTCCGACGTCGGCGACTGGTTCCAGTGCAATAGCGATAGCGGTCGGTCTTCTTCTCTGGCAATTGGTTCATTTTTCGGTCGCCCCTCTTCTTCTTCTCTGGTGCTCCTTGACGACTAGGGTTTTAGGGGTCTGGGTGGAGAGGTTTAAATACTTTTTCACTTTCAATCTGGGCCATTTGTTCGGGGCTGCATGGCCCAA